CAGCAGAGGGATGAAAGAGCCACATGCAGCTCCAGAGCCACAGGTTGCTGAACGTTGAGCTAGGTTAAAGTAGCCTCTGAAAGGGAGAAACAGCCCTACTTATTCCACTGGCAGACACTAACTGGGGCTTGCAATTGAACCTGTTTTTTTTTTAAATACACAAGTCCTGGACGCACAGGAAAGATTGTGTGGCATGGACAGTGCTGTCCTCCATTTGAAACTTAAAAGAAACAGGAAGGAGGCAACCACACACAGCAACCTGAAGGGTCCCTTTCAATTTGCCTAACAGGATGCCCTAAATGTTGGATTCGGTAATGGCTCTGAACATAAAGTCAAAATGGCAAGAATAAGACTTCGGAACAGCTGTACTACAATAAGGCCAAATGTAGCTTTCTGGGAAAAGCCTTCATTCCAGAACCACAATAAATCAATAGGGCAGAGTTCTATGGTAGCTAGATCTTCTTCTTGTAAAGAAGCTTTTTGCAAGTATGATGTGCTAATGGAATTGACTTCTAACAAAATGCATTCATCTTGATAATCAGTCACTGTCAAAATAAAGGCAAGTTACAGCACTCAGCCAAGAAAGCAAATTAAAAATATTTTGATATGGCCACATTTTTTTTACAAGATAACTCAATGTCCCTGATCTCCCCACCCCCCAAAACCCAAATCTTATGATATATGAACATCTGCAGCACAGTAGCATGCACTTCACACGCACTGCAACCATATCCTTCACAGACTGCGAAGCCATGAAAGCAGCTGTTCCCATTTTCTCAGCTGTAACGAAGAAAGAGATGGTGACAAAACATGCAACCTGAAAGCTAATTTAGGGCCCAGAAATGCAAAGACTCCCATTCTCATTTTTTGTGTGCCCACAAAACTAAGTCTGCAATCCTACTAATAGTTTTGCTTGGAAAAAAACCCCTTAGATTCCAATGAGACTCCCAGCCTAGCAAACAGGCATAAAATGGTGCTGTAATCCAGTGATTTGGGATTGTTTTCAAAATTAATTTGTGAAGGAGGTCTATCCGGGTGATTATGTTAACAGTTAAAAAGCAAATAATATTGACTAGGGATGCACAATTTTATTGATGCAATTTTCCCACCCCTCCCTCTGATTAGATTCCTCTCACTGGTGATGCCTGGCTTCTGCAGAGTGCGGAAAAGTAAAATCTCCCTTGAGCATGTTTAACTCCTAGCAACAGGAATATATGGTTTCCTTGGCAACAATATTGATGTGGGTCCCCCTGCCCTGGGATACTTTTTCCAATTCCCAATTTAGCCTGTAGCTTTGAGATTTCCTTTGGTGTCCTATCCAGATACTAATCGACTCCCACTCCCCCCCCCCCCATCAGTCAAGATTGACATTTTTGCACCTCTCCCTTCTCTTATGTTTGTGGAAAATATGGGTCCTCCTTGAGTTAGGCCACAATTTAATCCCACAATTACTGTTGTGAGCAGTGATGGTCATGCAGCACATCACCACACCACTAGTCTCAATTTTATGACTTTGGAGGGCAGTTGTTAAGCGAACAGACACAAACTTAAATTTATGGTACTTATTTAGCAATTTTAAATTCCTCCCTCCTTATCCAAAAAGGTTGAAAACATTTATCTTGTCTAATTAGAAGGTCTTTTGGATGCCAGAAGAGGGCACATGGTCATCATATGCTGGATGTGATCTAATGTGTGTTCTAGGCGCTCTACAAAAATTGGTAGCTATGCATATACATGGTTTCTTTTCTTTTAACACACAACCTGGGATAGTGATGAACTATGGGGTCCTTGGGGTTCTCTGAGCATGGGGGCGCAGGAGTGTGTGCACACATGCACAGGGATGGGGTGCATGTGCAAGGCACGCACATGCTTTGCATTTTGGGGATGTGCATGCTTGCACTCTTTGGGCAATTGGTGCTGAAAAGGTTAGCCATCACTGATCTAGTGCTCCTCATTCTGAAGGCCTTTCAGATGATCACTCACGTCCTAGTCACCTTATGATTGCAGTGTTATATATTCAGCATGCCATTGCCCTTGAAAATCACTTAGAAGCTATAACTGTTCGAAAATGGGACAACGTGGGCAGCAATGACCATGCCTCAATATGCCATGGGATACCACTGTTCAATGAGCTGCATTGGTTGCCAGTTTTCAAGTACAATTCAAGCTACTGTTTACCACCTGTAAAGCCCTCCTGGTTATCTTAGAGCAGTTTTTCTCAACCTTGGCAACTTGAAGATGTCTGGACTTCAACTCCCAGAATTCCCCAGCCAGCATTCACTGGCTGGGGAATTCTGGGAGTTGAAGTCCAGACATCTTCAAGTTGCCAAGGTTGAGAAACACTGTCTTAGAGACTGCTGATTGACAATTGTTTCTGCCTGTCCTGTACAATATGGCAGAATGGATGTGTTTCATATTTCCTCAACTGAATAATGTCATCCAGTGTGTTTCTCTGTTGCAGTGTTGCGCTCTGGGAACAACATTCACCGCCAAGGTCTGCACACACTGATGAATTTTGGTAAGATACTGAAAACCTGGCTATCTTCTCTGACTTTAGGACAAGGTGATGATTGAACCCTGTGAGTTTTTGTTTGGTATTTAGTTGGTTTTGTTGTACTTAGTCTTTCCAGATACACATCATCCCTTTCTTTTTTATTGTTTTCCCCCTTTTAATTATGTATAATTCCCAGCATAATCTGCAGTTGGGCATTCTTTAAACGGATGCAAATGAACGAATAAATAAATAAATTTTATGACTTCTGAACTAAACATGAAATAAACATGACCGAGTCCAATATGAAGAATGCATAGTGTTTTTTTAAAAAAACCTAATCATATCACGAAAGCTTAAAAGGTTTTTATTCATTCTTTATTACTTCTTTCTTTCCCTTTTCAAGTTTAATTAGGATTTTTTTTTTTATAAACGGCGATTTAGATTTCAAATGAGCATACTGTGCAAATGTAATTGCTAGGTCTTTAACTGACCTGATTAAGTAGGTTAGGCAAGCACAGCAATGAGATGTCTGCAGGACCCCCAAAAGGCATCCTGGCTGCTCCATAGCAAAATAAAAGAAAACAAAACAAAGCACTGAAATCCTACGAGGTTGCAAGATCTTGCACAAGAATGCCAAAATCAGAATTATATCTAAGTCTGTGCCTAGGCACATGTCTGTGCCTCTGCACATACACACATACACATGTGCCCAGGCATTTCACATGATGCTTTGACAGGTTCAAAGACAAAACTGCTAATCTCTAGGAATTGCTGAACTATACTGAACAGATGCTTTCTACATATGGCAGGGCTCCAACTTCCAGAATCCAAAATTGTCATAATCATCTAGAGCAGTGGTTCCCAAACTTGGCAACTTTAAGACTTGTGGACTTCNTATATATTCATATATATATTCATATTCAGAAACCTACAGGATACTGGACATGTCAAATGTCATCATAGTTGCTGTTCTGTCTCATTCTCTCTATCTCTTTATTGCAGCTTTGGAAGATGTTTCAATTAAGGAGGGTTCCATACAATTGTGCTTTTGTGAGGCTGTCCTTTCTACTTAAGCCTGTACTTCCAGTCCGTTGAAACTGCTGCTGCTGCTTGCTATGGAGACTTGAATGGCTTCCTTGCTCGATGGAAGACTGATGGATCTCTGAAGCCTCCATAGAACTATGGTTGAGGGACTCAGCTGAACTGTTTGGACTAACATCAACATATTCTCTTTTCAAAACAGGACTCCCATCAATGCTTTTGCTACTGCACACCTGGACTGTGATTCTTTCACTTTTTTTGTCCCTCAGTTCTTTTGTTTTATAAGAGGGCAATTTGTCCTGCTTACAACTGGTGCTTATGTCAATATTCAGACCGCTGTCTGTCCTCAGGAAGCAGGAGTCCACAAGTCTACTTTGACAAATATCATCTCCCTCTGAGAAGCTATCACCTTTATAACTAGCATAAATGGGACTTGATCGACTGTCTCCTTTCTTTATAGGACTTCTGTAATACTGCTCTGAAAAGCTGCAGGGAGAAAGCCTGCCACTGTTCCTGTAAGAATATGCACCAATATCTTCCACACTAAGCTGTCTCCACTGTCCAGGTAGATCTTCTTCTGACAAGTGGGAGTTCCTGCTTTCACTGCGCATCTTCTGTGATGCTAAAGCTTGTTGAGTTGTTATGGCCGAGAAATGATAAGGCTCACTTGCATAAGGGGACATAGTCCTAGTGAAAGTAGGGGAGTTCTCATTGTCATCTGCCAGCTCCATGTGCTGAATAGATTTAGCCTTGGCGAACCTTGGACTCCCCTGCTCATAACCTGAAGATGGCTTTCTTTCAAACATCTCGTCGCGGCTGCTCAGGTAAATGGCTTGCTGGGAGGCTGTCAAAGTGCTAGCTTGGGCATTCTCCTTCTCCTCAGACGTTACACTAAAGCTGGAGTAGGAACTAGAAGTAGGTAGAGAGGTAACATATTCTGGGAAAGCTTCATGAGAGAAGCTGGAATGGAAGCCGTCTTCTTCAACTGTGCTGTCAGTGGAATTCTGGGACCTCAAGAACCCAACGCCCTTGACTTGCATGTCTACACTCTGTCTTCTCTCCCGCCTTCTCTCCTCAGGGCAATAAAGAGCTGTATCACTGCAGTAAATTTCGGACTTGTACTGAGGTCTTTGGCCAAGTTTTCCAAGAGATTCCTGGAAGGCAAGATCTCTGCTTGATGGGCTTGACATGTGGGGAGAAAGATTGTTTGGATCAGGCTTTTCCAGGACTTTTGCAATGACACAAGTTGGTATGTTATCGGCAAATGATGTATGACACAGAGGTACCGAGAGGCTGCATCCATGCTTTTCTAGGTGGAGGCTGACACGTTCCTGAAATTCAGCTGGCAGCTGAAATAAATGTAGGGAAGGAGAAGAAAAATATATAAAAGGGTTGTCAACAGTAAAGCTTATGATCAAGAAATCCCAGTTACTGTATTGAAGCCTACAAATGTGATTTTTCAAGTGAAAGAAAACAATAATAAATAAAAAGGCTCCTATCATGAATGAATTATTAACGCAAATGTTCAAACATGGCAGATTGCCCTGGTTGACTAAAGGAGTTAGCTATTTGTTGTGTGTTTATGTTATAGACTGTCCTGTCTCATAGAGGGAAGACGTTTAACATTCAGATGTTTAAATATATGAATATCTTCCCCTTTGCCAGTTTTTGATTGATATCAATGCACTAATATACCGTACACACCAAGTACTGTTAAATAAGGTCTGTTTGCAAATTAACGATCAATATTAATCTTGAGGATTGCAGGTTGTATTTCCACTTATTTCCACTGTCAAAATAAGCTGTTTCCTATGACATAAAGTTATTCCTCATTGACATGATTGTGAGCAATAATGTCAAGCTAGGTCAGGGGTCATCAACCTTAAACACTTGAAGAGCCATTTGTACCTGTTTCCCACAGAAAAGAAAACACCAGGAGCCACAAAACCCTTCCCGGGCTTGACTATTTCCTGAGCGGCCACAAATCTAGCATATGTAGTTGAATTAAACATTCTGTTTTCTTCTGAAACTTTTCTTTTCTTGGATTTATCCATGGTTGGCCTACCGGGAGTCGAAAAGCTCAATAAATTGCATGCCACAGGTGTCGCACATTGGCGGTTGTGACACATATTTTGAGCGACAGGGAGCCACAGCAGAGGGATGAAAGAGCCACATGCAGCTCCAGAGCCACAGGTTGCTGAACGTTGAGCTAGGTTAAAGTAGCCT